ACCATGCAGACAGCTGATTAGCGCAGGTCCCCTGCTCACTAAGGGAAATGGAATTTTCACATATGAGCTAAAGGGCCTACTCTGTGACCAGTGCCAAAGCTGTAGAAATCCACGAGGTTTTGGATTCTCGATAGTTGACCTGGAGGTGTGCAGGTTAAGCCCCACACCATAAGATAAAATTACCACTTATCACCTTATGAAACAGTGGAATTTAAATAATAGAATCAGAAATGTAGGACTGGAAGTGACCTCGATAGGACATTTAGTCCAGTCGTCTGCACCGAGGCAGGACTAAGTATTATCTAGACCATCCCTGACAGGTATTTATCTAACCTGCTCTTTAAAACCTCCAGTGATGGAGATTCCACAACATCCCTAGGCAAATTGTTGTAGGGCTTAACTACCTTTTCAGTTAGAAAGTTTTTCCTAATGTCTAACCTAAATCTCCCTTGCTGCAATTTAAGTCCTTTGCTGCTTGTCGACCTCAGCGGTTAAGGAGAACACTTTATCATCCTCCTCTTTATAACAACATTTCACATACTTGAAGACTGTTATCATGTTCCCTCTCAGTCTTCTCTTATCCAGACTAAACAAACCTATTTTTTTCAGTCTTTCTTTGTAAGTCATGTTTTCTAGACTTTTAATCACTTTTGCTTTCCTCTATTGCTTCCCTCTGGACTTTCTCTAATTTGTCCACATCTTTCCAGAAGTGTGATGCCCGGAATTAGACACAATATTCCAGCTGAGTAGAGTGGAAGAATTACTTTGTGTGTCGTGCTGCTTACAACACTCCTGATAATACATCTCAGAATAATACTCACTTTTTTGCAACAGTGTTACATTGTTAACTCATATTTAGTTTGTGATCCACTATAACTCCCAGATCCTTTTCCTACTCATTTCCCATTTTGAATGTGTGCAATTGATTATTCCTTCCTAAATGAAGTACTTTGCATGCCCTTATTGAATTTCATCCTGTTTATTTCAGACCATTTCTCCAGTTTGTCAAGACCATTTTTAATTCCAATCCTGTCCTCCAAAGTGCTTGCAGTCCCTCCCAGTTTGGCAAACTTTATAAGTGTACTCTCTTTGCCATTATCCAAATAATTTATAAAGATATTAAATAAAAGCAGACCTAGGGCAGATCTGTGCAGGACCCCGCTCTATACGCTCTTCCAGTTTGATTGTGAATCACTGATGATTACTCTTTCCGAGTATGCTTTTCCAACCAGTTGTGCACCCACCTTATAGTAGATTCATCTAGGCTATATTTCTCTAGTTTCCTTATGAGCAGGTCATGTGAGACAGTATCAAAAGCCTTACTAAAGTCAAGATATATTACATCTTCTGCTTTCTCCCGATCCATAAGGCTTGTTACCCTGTCAAAGAAAGCTATTAGGTTGGGTTGACATGATTTGTTCTTGGGATAGTTTGCTCTTGGAACCTTAATAATGTCTCTTTAAAAAACTGCCAACTCTCCTGAACTCTTTTTTCCCTTAGACTTGCTTCCTATGGCATCTCACCCTACCAATTCTCTGAATTTACTGAAGTCGTGTCTTTTTGAAGTTCATTGTTTTTATTCTGCTGTTTCCCCGCTTACCATTACTTATACTCATGGGGGTTCGATCATTTCATGATCATTTTCACCCAAATTCTCAACCAGTTCCTCCCAGTTTGTAAGAATCAAATCTAGACTAGCTTTTCCCTGAGTTGTTTCTCCACCGTCTGTAGTAAGCTAGTGTCTCCAGGGCATTCCAAGAACTTGTTGGATAATCTGTGCCTTTCTATATTAGTTTCCCAACAGATATCTGGGTAGTTGAAGTCCCCCATCACCACCGACTCCTGTTTAAAAAAAGCCTCATCCACTTATTTTTCCTGGTTCGGTGGTCTGTAGTCGACTCCGACATCACTTTTTTTTAACCCCTTTCATTCTTATCCAGAGACTTTCAACAGTTCTGCCTCCCACTTCTATCTCAGCCTCAGTGCAAGTTTATACATATTTGATATACAAGACAACACCTTCTCACTTTTTTCCCTGCCCTTCCTTCCCCAACAAGCTGTACCCTTCTTTGCCAATATTCCAGGCATGTGAATTATCCCATCGAGTTAACATTTGTGCTGCCAGTTATGTCATAATTGTGATCATTTACTGTGATCAGTTCTTCCTATTTGTTTCCCATACTACTTGCATTAGTATACAGACATCTAAAATGTTTATTAGATTTCCCTCTTGTCTGTGTTCCCTCTTGTCTCGCCTTTGTCCCAGCTGTGATTGCCCATGTTCCCCCCCACATATTCCAACCCTTCACCCAAGTCTCCATGTTTTGGACTTTCCTATGGGCTTTTGTCTCCTGCCCTTCAGACCTAGTTTAAAGCCACCTCACTCCGTTAATCAGCCTATATCTGAAGATATTCTTGCTCTTCCGTGATAGATGGACCCCATCTCTGCTCAGCAGCTCTTCTTCTCAGAAAAGCATCCCATGGTCAAGGAAGCTGAAGCCCTCCTGGCGACACCATCCTCGCAGCCAGGCATTCACCTTCAGGATGCATCTGTTTCTGCCTGGGCCCCTACCCTTGATCGGAAAGACTGAAGAGACCACCACCTGCACTCCCAGCTCCCTCACCCTTACTCCCAGGGCCCTGTAGTCACTTCTGGTCTGTTCAGGGCCAGACCTCACAGAATCATTAGTGGATGAGCAGCATCAGAGAGTAATCAGAGGGTCAGAGATGATCCTCAGCAATCCTTCCATAAGATCTCAAATATGGGCCCCTGGCAGGCAGCCCACTTCTTGGGATGCCAGATCAGGTCAGCCACTCAGTGCTTCTGCCTCCCTGAGAAGGGAGTCACTGGCTATCACTACCCTCAATTTCCTCTTGGGAGTAGTGGCCAGTTGGGGTACGTGGCTTCTGCTCCTCCACCTTTGGGGGAGAGTCCTCATCCCGCATGGCCAGGGCAGCATACCCCTTTTTATCTCTGTGCACGGTGGGTTGGGAGCAGGGGTGGAGCACTGCCTGCTGCCAGAAGTTGCCACCCGCCAGTTTTCTCCCTGTGAAGGAGCCATTTCCTCCTCCCCGGGTGGCCCTACTGCAGCCCATTCCCCTGGATTGCTTCCTCAGCCTTCATGTTTCCAGTGAATTCCTCATGGGCACGGATGCTCCTCAGCCTGGCCACCTCCTCCTGTAGCTCTCCCACCCTGCTTCTTGAGAGTTTCCACCAGCAGGCACCTTTCACTCTGGATGGTCTCCCCAGCCCGGCTTTCCTTGGTGGGGAAATGCAGGCCGCAGTCTCTGCAAATCCACACCAGGACTTGGGTAGAGGCCTCCCTGGTCAGGACACAGGTGGAGGAGCCAGGAGCAGCGTTGGCACTGGCATCGCGGCTGTTCTGAAGCCTGGTGATTTTATTCTTTCCCCTCCTACAGACTCCTTCTCAGATTCCCCCGTGTGCTATCCCCTGCTCATTTAACCTCTAGCTCGTAAGCCATTCTCTCCTAGGTCAGACCTGCCCCCGCATTAACACATGCTGGCAGGGTAGCCACAAGGATGAGCAATGATCAGAGGACAGGAGGCTCGAGCCTGCTCAGGTAGCAGCCAGTAAACCCCTGGCCCCCACTCCAACTGTCCCCTTACACACAGTTCCCAACAGGCCACACCGTACATTTTAAGCAAGCCAAAAGAAAAACAAGCTTGCCCACTCGCCCCAAGAATTCGTGCTCGCTGCTTCTTCAGCAAGGAATCTCCCCCTCCAACAGCCCCTATTTGCTAGGTTCATTTTACCATGAAGAATGCAGCGATCTTGTAAAAAAAATACAGGTAAAAAACACAAGTTAAGTTAATCTGAAGGGCCTGAAAGGGGAAGCCTTCTTCAAATCAAGTTTTTCAAAAGAGTAAATTTTGTTCAGCCCCTAGCTGATCAGAGCATTATTAAACAAAAAAGGCCTCTTATCTTACTTTCACGTCGTGTGGTAAGTGTAAATGACTAAGTTTCCTTTCTGAAAAAGTGAAAATGGCTAGTTTCCACATGTGCACACTCCTCTCAAGTAAATGCTATAATAAAAGGTGGAATTCTGACTTAGTAATGGCTTTGTGGTTATCTAAACAACAATCCAACATCTAACACGTCACTTCTGTTTAATTGACTGCCTCACAATTTGACCATACCTAGTAAACAGGAACTCTCTGAGATAAAAAAAAAATGCAGGCTACCTAGATTAGTCCACCTCTCTAAATTAGGGGCCTGATCCAAAGCTCTTTACAATGAGCTGAAAGACTCCCATAGACTTCAATGGGCTTTGGGTCAGCCCCCTCGCGGTTGCACAATGTTGTATTTTATCCCCTAAGTGTGTGTGCGGTTATGTTTTCCCTTTTGTCGTTCATTCTTCACTTTAAATTATGGTCTGTATAAAGAAATTTTTGCTTTACTAACTTTAGGACATGATTTCTTGAGAAGGCAAATCATTCACTTCAACAGAAAGTTGCCTACATTCTGAATCGAGCATCTAGTCACGAGAGTGCAGCCTTTTCTTAGTACTTGTCTAAGCAGAGAAATTGACCAGCACAGCTATAGTGAAATAAACTATTCTTCTATAGCTATGCCAGAATAACTGCCCATGAGGACGCTCTAGTCTATAGCAACAGGGACTTGATTCTGAAATAATGATTCCACGATAGATATTCCGGCCAATTTCCCTGTGTACACCAGCCCTCAGCGTCTGTGTATTCTCCCTATTCTTGTCGCTGAGCGAAGTCTGTTCACAGTCATCCCACATCCTTTTATTGATCAGTGGTTTATAGCAACCATTTCATCCATAATCCCTTTTATTGCTCTGTATCCCAATCCACTTCTATTGTATGTTTTCCATTTTTAATTAAACAAGCTACTTGTCAGCCTCTACCTCTGTTTCAGTCTTGGTCTCCTCACTATGTAAAACTGACCAGTAACATCCTCATTTCATGTCATGTGCAATTTCATCCATTCAAGCTAAGGACCAGCACTGCTAAATAAATGAAAACAAATGTTTTATTTACAGCAAAAATCTGTACACTGTGCATACATAAAAATATACAAAATCAAAATAGAAAATAGAAAAGTGTTAAAATGTATACAAACACTGTTTAAAAATGTGACTCCTGTAAAATCTTAAGATTTAATTTGTTGAAGAGTACACATTCATTTAAAAAAATCATCATACAAAATAATTCTCAAAGCTATTAAAAAAGTACACAGTCTTCCATATTTGAATAGTTCAATGACTACATTTCACAGAGGATGAGATGATATGGATATATGTAAGACTTCTACATAGCTGATATTTAAAGAACAAAACTCTGGATTTGATTGCCAAGTTGAAGAGAAGAAATTCAGAGTGTCAAAATTCATTTAATTAAATAAGCCTGTGAGAGGCATGCCCAGACATGGGCTACTTTAAAAGTTCAAACAGTTAAATCAGGTATCCTCTTTGCACTGTAGAGGATAGCATTCAGGAAATCTGTATATGCTCTCTAATGACATTTCACAGTCTGCTTCAAAAAACAGTCTAACATATCTATGGATTGGAGATGAAGGGAAAGAACTCAAAGTGACACTTTCACAGACAATGTATTTCACATTACTTTCATCATAAGTTTGTACCAGTGTCTGAATAGCATTTCCCGGTTTATGAGAGCCTTACTGAAGAGGAAGACCAACACAAAAGTAACCAGGTGTGGTCACTTCTACACACAATTTGAACACCCATTTAATTCAAACTGTTTCTAAATGGATTGAGTTAAATCTGTGCAACCTCTTAACGTGGCACTCACTTCCAGTTAAAAACAAACTATTTCAATTTTGCTTAATTTGGCAAGAAATTGATGCAAAAAGAATCAAGAAGGAATCCTTAATCTGAAACAAAAGAATGTCAACACCAGTACGTTGCATTGATTGAGCTAAATATTTGTGCTCAGTGTGTAGACCAGCCCTGTGTGTGTAGATCAATATAATTATACATAGATCTCTCTGTCTCTTTACCACATACAAATCTGTTACAGTGGTGTAACTTCACTGACTAACAGTGTGGAGAATGAGGGCCAGGTAAGCCTTGGGAAAACAGAAGGAATGGAATATCAGAAATATTTTCCCCCTTAAAAACGTGTGGCTCAAAATGAGTCAAAACTTTAATAATTTCTCTGGAATTAACAGAAGAATACCTTGATTTAACCATCTAAAGGCTTCATGCATAAAACAATACAGCCACCACCTGTTGAAAAAGCTGCATAATTCACAGTGGAAAACACAGCAAACCAAAAAAAATTAACATAAATTCAGCGCATTTACCCAAGCTTTGTGGGTGATTTTTCTTTTTTCTTTTTTTTTTTTTTTAAGTGCAACCGTCTCACCTCTTAATCATATACCCATCAGTGCACAGCAACTAGGCTTTTGTAACTGTAGAGGCATAAAAGGGGGATGAGTCTAACTTGAGCATTTGCGTCATGTGTGTTATGTTGCAGGAACGTGCAGGCCTTGCCTAGGCAAATCTCCCACTCACTTCAAGTGGGAGTTACATACATACAAGGGTGACAAGATCGCACCCTAAAATATCGATGAATGATTTGGATGGGGAAATGTATCACACGTTCCTTATGTATATATAAAATATCAGTCACCAGTTACCATTATTAAAAAGCTATCTAGATGTCTATTGAACACCTAATACACAGTCATTCACTCTTTTAAATGCAACTGATTTGTATGGATTTTTGATAAATGATTTCTGCTCTCAAAGGTTTTTAAAAAAACCCAACACATAGAAAAACCTCAATGGCCTCCCATAAAAGCAAAGAATACCAAAACTCAGGAGGGAGGCACCATGACGGGAGGGAAGGTTGGTGAAAGCAGCAGTTCTGTAGTTCTCTTCATGTTGCCCTTTGCTTCCCCCTGCTGGCCTCTTGTTGGCCGAAGTAAAATTTCAGTTGAATTCTCAAAAAGAAAAGGAGGACTTGTGGCACCTTAGAGACTAACCAATTTATTTGAGCATATGCTTTCGTGAGCTACAGCTCACTTCATTGGATGCATACTGTGGAAAGTGTAGAAGATCTTTTTATACACACAAAGCATGAAAAAATACCTCCTCCCACCCCACTCTCCTGCTGGTAATAGCTTATCTAAAGTGATCACTCTCCTTACAATGTGTATGATAATCAAGTTGGGCCATTTCCAGCACAGGAGAGTAGGGTGGGGGGGGGGAAGGTATTTTTTCATGCTTTGTGTGTATAAAAAGATCTTCTACACTTTCCACAGTATGCATCCGATGAAGTGAGCTGTAGCTCACAAAAGCTTATGCTCAAATAAATTGGTTAGTCTCTAAGGTGCCACAAGTCCTCCTTTTCTTTTTGTGAATACAGACTAACACGGCTGTTACTCTGAAACCAGTTGAATTCTCAGTTAGCAAACCAGGCTGAGCTAAACTTGTACTGATGTTTTCTTTTTTTCTTTCTTTTTTTTTTTTTTTTTAAGATAGACAGCAGGAGTGGGAGGAGAAAATCTTAAAGTGTCAAGATGCCTGTGTTTGTAGAACAATGAAATATCACAGGGGAAACCAGGGTTTGGAAGCCACCTTAAGGCCCTCCCTCCTTGGGACGATTGAGACCCTGTGCTTCACAGAGTTGATGCTGGCCTCCTTTCTGGGAAGAGGCTGGTGCACTTAGCACAGCTCTAAAGCAAAGCTAAGCTCGAGCGTGAAGATATAACATTCATATGGTTGGAGAATTGTAATATACACAGGGATAGAATTAGGACAGATGACATGGTGTTTGAAAGATCCACACCAATGTAAATAATTATATCATCGAGGGAAAGGTGACAGTTTCTTGGCATTTGCACTTGGCCAAAAAAGATTTTCTGCTCAGGTGCCGCAAGTGCGCACTATTACTGCCCCCAAAAGGATGTGCATGCAAGTATAAAATCCATTGGATGAATGCGTACCCAGGGTTGTGTGAGAATTTTAAAGGGCAGCACTTCATTTAAGCAGGAGTGCTAAGTATGCAGCCTCTCGTTTTTCTTTACGGGAATCTTTAGAGTCCACAGGGCTGCGTACAAGCTGCACCGTGATGACAGACTATCTAGCGTGTAATACAACGCACTCCTATTGTTGTGGACAATTGTGAGTATTGCTGGTTAGCTTTTTTTATTCCTGATGGAAACAAGAGTTTAAGTTTAGCATGGGCAAATGAGTAGGAAACTGGCATGCTATTTTGTGGAGTCTTAAGAGACTTCTGCACAGGGCACAGTGACTTATGGTACTCATTTGTACTAGAAATATGATCAACTCCATTTATTGAAAGGTGTGGGAACTAATCTAATTTGAACTTGGCACATGGGAAACCCTGATCTGATACTAAGATCACTATATAACAAAGTGCCACTCTGCCCGTGCAGAAAAAATCTGATTTAACGTGTTTCACAGAAGGTGAATTAAGTGAAACAAATATATGGGGAAAGTTTTTTTCCCCTTTGTAGGCTATATAGCACTACTAAGGCTGGATACTGTTAAAAACAAAAACGGAAATAAAAAATTATTATAATGTGTTTTCCAAAATCAATATGTAATGCATCCAGATACTAAGGCTGAAATTAATGAATGCTGTCCATTTGGCAGTATGAAAAAAATGCTTTATGAACATACCTATCCAATCAACACAAGGCATGTCTGGAACACATGGACACACTTTGTCAGCTAGGAAGAATTTTAGAAGGACGGCAAAGCCCAAGATAATGACAACTTGAAAAAAGAAGGCTAAAGTACAGTAAACTAATTCTGCTCTTGTAGGGAGGAAAAACAGCAGGAAAGGTTGGATGGGAGAATTACAAAATTCTTCTGATTTATATTTATATCAGTGATTTTCAACCTGTGGTCGACAGACCCCTGGGGGTCCACAGACTATGTCTAAGATTTCCAAAGGGATCCACACCTCCAGTTGAAATTTTTTAGTGGATCCAAAAAAGAAAGAAAGATTGAAAAGCACTGATTTTTATAAACAAAGATAACCTAAAATAATTAATGTGGATTTCTCCATCGCCAGCTCTCTCTCAGTAGCCAATAGCTAAATATGTGAAATATGCTTTTCCACTCCACTGCTGTTAATAACACAGTGTTTCTACCAGCCAATCACCTTTTTGCTGAATGGATATGGATAGGATATGTATGATTCTTGTACGTAATCACTCCTACTGAATTTTGCTCACTGGAAAACCAAATTTTAAAAAGCAAACAAGAGCATTAACCAATCTCCAGCCTGAAATTGAACTCTTGTCAGAGAAAACGTATTTTAAATGCATTAACATCCAGGTGGATTTAGAAGTAGTTTAGAGAATACCCATGCTGTGTTTTTACAATGAAATTATGAGATTGTCTCAGTGTGTAAGCCAGAGTAAGACTGCTGAATGCTTTACAATGTCTCCAGGATATAGACTTCATAATTTTGAATTAAAAAAATACTGACATCCTGTTCTTTCCTCACAAAAACAAAACACAAAATGCCCTGCTTTTTTAAAAGCAATAATAAATGAATTTAACTTGGCTTACAACAAAATAGGCAATCACCTAATTTCTGAAATCTCCCCATCCAAAATGCTTATTTCCTTGGAAAAGGCAGGCCTACATTTTTGTAAGAAATCTGTTTCAAATGTATGTGTGCAAGCAGAGCACATTGTCTCCCTTCCCCTGGAGTGTTTATCTACATATGTGCACAGAGGGGGGAACTGCCCCCAGGCAGAAAGCCCATGCACCATTTCGATCTCACTTACGCCCTCTTGCTGGTCTTCTGCTCAAGCTGAATGAGGGCAGAATGAGAGCTTTCTGAAGAATGGAGAAGATTCTCTTCTCTTCACCCTGTGCCTGAATGCAGCGTCTGCATGGACCATGACAGATCTGTGCAGTAGTACTGTATTTATTTAAATAACCTGGCTGTGTGTACAATAATATCTCTTTAAAAGTGAGTAAATATCACTTGTTAATTTCTGGCTGCAGAAACTACCTGAATACAATGACTAGCTATTGGGCCTGATTCTTATTTATGAAGGTCCCTTTATATTGGTAATTTACATTCACTTTAAAGCCCGTTTACCTTGCCAGAATGGAGTAAAGGGAGCTTTGTGTGAATGAGAATCAGGCCCATTATACTCATAGCATGCCCAGTTCAAAATCATGATTATTTTATCGGGGGGGGGGGGGATGTGAAAATCCTGTGGTATGAAGAGAAATCATCCATCTCTCAGCAGACAGCCCTGTGTATGAATGATACAGGCTGCTTCATAATGTCAGATTTAACTGTTAAGTTTGGCATCTAGTACATGTGGCATAAGAAACCTCTGATGTTTTCTGACAGGTCATGCCCACAACAATACATTGTATATCTACCTAACTGTGCCTTTGCACCTTTCATGAGCGAAGCTTTTTTTCTTTAACTATTTGCAAAGCAGTAATACATACTCAGGCTTAGGAAGGAAGGAACTCTCATGCCTGCTACTTAATTACAGTTTATAGACTCAAGACTAGGTTGGTCTAAGATACATTTTCAAGTATTCCTTTGTTGTTTATAGTACGACAGTAGTACCTTATTGCACATTTTTCTGAACGAGTCACTTTTACAAGTGTGGGAAGTGATTCCGTCCCAGGCACTTTACAGACCTGAACCCTGGCAAGATTACCTTCCCCTTCCGATACAGATCATCCTGTAACCCTTTGTTCATCCTCTGCACCAGCAGTTTCTCATACAGCAGTGGATGGTAAGCCCCTAAGGTACAAGCTGCATCATAGTATAGTTCATGGTAGTGACAAAGGTCAGTTTGTCGGACTGAAGGGATGTATTCATACACGTGCACTTCGTTACACATGGACATCATGATGAGGATTCCTGAAATGAAATTTAGAAACAAAAATATAGCTATTTCACCTCCTTAGAATTTTTCTGCAATCCTGTGATCTACTGTCTTTCACCACTGCATTTCAAAATGCTTTATTGTACTTAGTTTAAATATATTCAAATGTAATAAAACAGTTGCCCTGTTACACCATTATATAAAGACCATGATCTCTTGCAGTGTTGACATGATAGGACAGCAGGCTTATGAAACCCATAAAAGCCCTTTAAAACCCTGGACTACCATCTCCATCCTGCTCAATTCACCGAAGAGATTGCCCCTCCAAAAATTCCATGACAAAATCATGGAACTAACCCAGGCATATCCTAAACCTTACTATTCAAATCACATCATTACCCCCTTTAATGCATTCCCTTATTATGTTGTCTATTTATATAGTTCTTTAGCAATACAGACCTTATCTTTATATCTGTCTGATGCACCTAGCACACTAGATGGTGTGTAAATTATATGTAACCCCCCCAAAGTATTTCTTGGATACCCATCATCTTCATATCTAAACAATAAACAAAATTATGTAAAGGCAAAGAAACTTAAGAGTCTTCTCCCTTCTCTTCTCCCTGGTTTCAGATGTTTATCTGTACCCTGATCCTGTAAACATTTACGCACATTCTTAACTTGAAAGACATGAGTCGTCCCACTGACTTCAATTTAGTTTTAGGAAGTCATTGGTATGGGAAAAGCTAAATTGTCCAGCATTCACCCAGATTCTTCCCACCATTTTGACAACCTCTGGTCTTGATGCTACTATTCAGTGGTGAGGTTACAGGACTAACATGTTCTTCAAAGCATTTCTTACTTCCAGTTATCATAATTGGTGTCTTTCTTAGAGTGGGTTTGAGCCAGTTCCTCTTAATCCATCTGCTGGTTTCTTTCAAGGCATTGAGACATTTTGGAGACACAGAAATTGCAAAGGTGGACAAAGTGATATAGCTGAGTGTCATCTGTGTATTGGTAGCACTAGAGTCTGTGGCCTCGCAGATCTCTCCAAAGAGTTTTATATAAATGCTTAAGAGGATCGGATTCTATGTGACAGGGACACTGTAGATGAGGACAAGCAGGTGCCCACTGTGACACTCTGGGATTTGTCTGAGGAATGAGTGGATCCAGCATAATGCAGACCCATTTACTCTGGCTCAGTCTCGTATGTATCATCAGCACCATATCATCAACTGTGTCCAAGATTTCTGAGACATCCACCAGTATCAGCACAGAGATTCACTTCCTGTTTAAAGCTAAGAAACAGTCACCTCCACTGTTCCAGGCATTGTTGTCTCTATCCCATGTCCATGCATGGAAATATCCTGGTTCATTGAATGGGAATGTTGTCTCTCATAGCAGGGCTACATTAAAATAATACTGTCCAACTTTTGGTGTTACAAATTAGAAGTTAGATAATTAGCTTTCCCTTTACAAAGTTTTAGAATTAGAGAGCCACAAAGGGGTTGAGAGCTAAATCCCATGATTTAAAATCAATCAACATTAAAAAAGTTAATTTACTACTAAAATTAAGCAAAACAATTGTTTAAAATGTAGTTTGCAGCATTAAAACTCAGATTTCCAATGCTTATTAATGCAAAGGCTGATTCTTTTCATCCTGCCCTGCATTATCAGATAATCAAGGTGGTGGTTTCCATTCTTTTCTTTTCTTTCCTTTTAAGTCACTTTAAAACAATGTATTTTTAATTAACTCTTCTTTTATCATTTGATGCAATGATTAGAACATGTTTTCAATTATACTGAAGTTTCCTTTTACATTAGATGGAATTTATGACTCTAAAGAGTAACAATACTAATCCAAAATAAAAGATTCCCAAACATATGTGAAATTTACTGTTTCACTTACAAGCAACAAAGAATGTGAGTGAGAAATGATGAATTACAAATTGACAAAAAATATGAGACTAATCATTCAGAGTGAATCTATGATGCCAACCTGTAACTAGAGATGCACTGAATTTTACATTTGTCTAGCAGCTATGTGTAAAAAAGAAACTCTGATCTTATTTTGTTTTTCAGTTTTACAAATGCTTTCTTCTACTTTTCCACTGCTACCCTCCTTCGGCTGCTGATGGAGAATCCCTATGTCAGTCTAAGGTAACCGTAATCCAGCTGAATCAGAAAGTGGACAGTGGAGCCACATGTAATAATCAAGTACTTCCTGAAACGGATGAACAAGTGGCCTGTCTACGGAGCCCAGAGTCAAACGTAGAGACAGCTTCAGAAGACACACCACAGATGTTAAAGGAGAATTCTCTCGGATGAATAGGCACACACCTTAACCAGTGTATGTTGCTTTATTGCCATGCTACCCAGTTTACTTTATCATTCCTAAAGGAAACTGCTATTTGTGGAATAGGAAAAAAAACATGACAAGAACAAAAACAGGCTTCTGTTACTACTTCTTAATAGCAACGAAGATTGAAAGTCACTGAAGAAACTGTTTGATATGGCAGTTTTAAAACAAAACAGGTGACCTTCCAGGTAAAAGTGAATTCTTTATGGAGAACTGAAAAGCAGTGAAGGTTTAAATCTTTATAATCTGATGAGCAATGTTTCCAAGAGTCAATCTATATTAAGGACATATGTGTCATCTAGTTTATCCCTTTGCCAGTAGATTTTTCCCTACTAGTATTTTGGTCTCCTATACTTATAAAAGTGAGTGATGGAGATTCCACCCCTTCCCTTAGGACAAAGCCTAAAAAGCTCCAAGATTTTCCTGATATTCACCCTAATTTCACTCAACTACTCCTAGTTAAACTCCTTTAGCCTATAGCATTAATCTCCATCCTTAGCATTTACAACAATTCCACATTTGCATGTGGCTATTTATTGGTATTCTGCACCCTGCCTGGCTAATACCTATTTATTTCCAGGTGCAGTTCAATCTTTTTAAGTGGTTGATGACCCAGGTATCAGACAATGTCTTTCTTTCATTGCTTGTTGCAACTATTACAGTCTGGTAGGGCATGCTGTCTGTCTGTTCCTGGGGTTGAACTCTCCAGGACCAGCAGCCAGACATTTACTTCTGGGCCTAAAGTAGTCTTGGGGGGGAAAAAAGAGGGAAAATGCTCCCTGTACCAGCCAAAGAATAAGGGAGATGTGCGAAGTACTGATTGTTAAAAGCTCCCTCCTCCCCCACCCATGGCTTGGATAAAGGTGTGGGAGGCACACTTTGCCCTTCTTCTGCTTTCCCTATTGTTTATGTTCCAGATACATTTTCCCTCATCTACCACAGCCTGAATTTTGTAAGATTTACATGAGCAGTGATGAAATATTTTACTGAATTCACATCTACTAATTTAATTCTGTCCCAAACTAGAATAAATGCATCAAGTTTGCATTTATTTATTTATGTAAACCTATGCTACTTACTGCTCACATAATGGAATTATTTCCATTATCCTTTATCGGCCAAATTTCCAAAATGTGATGTATAGATGAACACTATCACTTGTGCAAGCAAATTATCAAATTTACACATGCAAACACAATTTCTTGGATAAATCAAGCACACGTCTGTGCATGTGATAAATATCTAATTTGCGCACACAAATGGTAGGGCACGAAAAATCAGTTGTGTAAATGAGTGCTTGCAAAGTTGCACGCACTCAAATACGGGGTGGGTCACCTTTTAGAAGCATGAGTAGATATTTAAAGCATTTCCTCAATGCTTATTCCACTATTAAGACATTTTAGAAAGAATTCCACCATTTTTCCAGTATCCTTCTGGCTCCAATAGCAGTTGATTTAAAGACTAGAAGAGAATAATACTGTGATTTATTCTGGTGAACATACATGCAAGTAAAGACAAAGCTTAACAGAAGGGACAAATATTAGTTGTTTTTAAAATGTAAACAGAGTCAATTGGTAAAGTTCTATTTTCAAGCCTCTAAAAACGTGTTGAAAACAAAGAACAATAAAAACTACAATAACCAGTGATGTTCTTTTAATTGGGTCGTGTCACTGGTACAGAGTACTTCACAGTTCAATGCATCTAACCAACCTTATTTAGGGAGAAGATTAAGTCACTAGAGAGTACATACTGGTAAGGGAAATATACTATATGACTGAATAGCTCTTTTCCATCTGTAACTTCTGATTCCCTTAATAAAACTGACAGCATAAAACTTGCCAAGAAATCCTAATAATCCAGTAAAACATCTTTTAAAACTAGCGATGAAAACTAAAATATGAATAAAATTCTAAATTAGAGATGACATTCCATTCTTTCCTCACACAACTGTAAAAAAAGTGCACAAACAGGAAAGTTAACCTCTTCATTCTGCATGAGCGTGACTAGACATCCTAGGTTTATTTAAAAGCTTTTAGATACTTTTTTTAAAAATTTTTATATTTATAACAGTTCACCATTCGAAGAACAAACCTACTGTCTGATGGATAACCTAGGACTAAATTTAGAAAAAAACATTAAATAGAAGGCAAATAGTAGGAATCTAAAACAAATAATAGAAATTAGAAATGCAAAGAACTAGGACACTTAGTCCAGTCCCCTGCCAATATCAATATTTTTTCCCTACTGTGCATTTTCTAATGCTCTGCACTTTCTGCTCTTTAAAAGTTCCAAGCAATAGGGCTACCAACATTTATTTGGGGAGAGCATTCCACAGCCTCGTAAATCTCACAGTCAAGCCTCCCTTTCTTAATTTCCTTAGTTCTCTTATATCCTTTTGCACCATTCTACTCATTTCCATTTTCTTTAGTGTTTATGACCTTCAAATGGGAAGTTTATGTCATCTGGCCCCAGCTAGTTAGTTGTTGCTGTGCCAAGTTACATTTCTTTTAAGTTTTCACAATTCAATTTCTTCATCCCCTGAGCATTTTGGGTGGTCTTCTCAAGCCCCCTTGATATTGTCAGTAGCTTGGCATTGAGGTGCCCAGGAATGAACACTGTATTTCAAATGAGCAATAACTTAACAATGAGACCTACTCCCCTACGGACTAGTTCTAAGGAAATTGGGGAAGCCCTATCAGTTGATTCATGTAAAAATTAGGCCAGACAGACTACTCAAGAATATGCCGTGGGGATCCAGAATCAAGAAGTGGGCAGAAAAAATTATTTATAGGCCTTTTCCAGTTCTGATGTCTCTAATACGCTATTTTTGAGCTCTCGGAGCTTAAACATCACATCTATTTTTAATAAGGAAAATACAAGAGAGTGTGGAGATTACGAAGAAAAATTTAACCTGACCTTAGATGTGGCAAGAATAACTGGTGAGGCTATAGTATTACCATATGTGCAAAAAGGGAACTGAAAAGATTTCCTGATAAGCCAAACCTAGTCTGCGCTATTGCCCTAGCTCTTTTTTTTTTTATGGTCCAAAAGCCGTATTTGGATTACAACAGCTGTAAAATAGGACATTTTAAAAATAGTTTTGCCCAGATACAGAAAAATCTAGAAAAGTTGCTGTATAGACTATGTGTGTGTGACTTATGAGTATTCTATAGATAAGTTATTCTGGGGAAAATTACGATTAGCGCTAAAACATTTTCATTTGAAAAGAATCATAGAACATCAGGAGGTCATCTAGTCCAACCCCCTGCTCAAAGCAGGACCAATCCCCAAGAGTTTTTAAAATATATATTATTCAAATAAAATTATCAAGTTATCAAGCTTGCTGCCCAGCTGTTTCTGTATTATAATATTACAGTTTTGGACACTAATAAAAATTTAAATATTTCAAAATACTCAATAGGATATATTATATTTCTATTAAAAGGAAGGTAAACTAATTTTAGAATATTTAGATATGGCTTAAATTGAGTCTAAATGGCACAACTAAACTCTTGGGATTTTGCCATCTGTGCGGCTGAAAATATTTAAACAGAATTAAATGAAAAATATTAAGTTACTTGCATGGATGGCTTATGCAAATGAACACAGATTCTAATCAAAAGGAGAAAATGTGTTAATTTGTTTATTGATTTTAATAACTCAAGAGGTTTTTAATTTCCAACATGCATCTTTTGCACAGTACAGTTGCGCATTGTGGTTAGCAAATTAATTTTTAAAACATTTTTCTTAGTTTGTAAATATATAAAATTTAATTTAATATACCTGAGTATAACAGATGATGTATAAAAGCATCTGAAGTAAGGAATCTAATTCAAACATTAACCAAGACTTCAGCTCAGCTTCTGATTTAGCAAAACTGTTTAATTATTTACAGTGTAGAAGTACGGATACAGGACTTGATTTTCAGAAGTGCTGGGCACTCACAACTTCTGTTAAGAGTTGTCGATGTTCAGTAACTCTGAAAAATGAGGCCCATAGGCCCATTTCACTTTTTTAAAAAGTCAGCATTAAAGAGACCGTAACAAGCTTATGTGAGAGAGACTGAACAAAATCACATATATGTAATCTGATTATCACATACATGTAATCTAATTATCACACACTCAGTATACACCAATGTTTTCCCACACATCACAGTAGCAGCTACAGAACTAAGTTTAACAATGTAACTAACTATTTTTAATTAATTTAATTAATTAAGTACATTAATTTAAGGTTTTTTGAACATAGGGCATAAAGAAAATACAGTTTTCTGCACATTAGTCTGCATATGTACACTGTGTGTTTGTCATTCTTTGAAGAGACATGGATGTCAAAGTAAAAGTGACATTCTCAGGTGGATGCTACTGACTCCGTCAAATTTAACAAACAAAAGGCAAGAACAGAAGCAATGGTAAATACTGTAGCTAAGCTATCATTGAGGTGTATCCCTAGTAATATTACAAAACACATGTATATATGAAATTTACTTTTTTCTGGTGTTCAGGAATGCTGGTTGCAGGAGTATTTGTTCATGCTTGTAACAGGCTATACAATGCCACAGATATCCATGCGGATTGACCACAGTATGTTACCCACAGTTCTGTGGGTTTAATAGACTTTTTAAATGAAGAAAAGTGCTGTGTTCATTTTCAAGAGAAGGTTATTTCATGTCTGTTTGGTCAATCAAAGATGACAAATATTAATCACAAGAGAACACTACTTGAATTTACAGAAAATCAACACTAATTAAAGAATTTAAATGTCACCAAATGGCGTTTGTGCCTAGACATAAGCAGTAATATACTGGTGTTTGATGTAGATTTTTGCATCGTGTAGCTTGATTAGAAATCAATATATGTTACTGTAAACACAAAAAGTTATTTATCAATAACTATAATGTATTCTGTAAATTCATAGATATGAAAATACTAACCAAGATTACCATGTGCTGTTAAGTGTTTTATTCAAGGTCAAATGACATGCTGGAGTATTAAACCCGCCACACAGAATGAAAAGATGAAAAGTGATGGATAATAACATAATGTCTGAAATGCTATTTGAAATGAGTTTACTCCCCTCTCTGTGTATACCAGGAAGCTGAAGCTTCTTAAATATTTGAGTGTTTTCTGCCTGCATGATAATATATCTGAAAAGAGTAACCACTACACCAGTCCAATTTTGTTTTTTAGCAACTAGTTACCAGATTACTAGCTAAGCCAAAGTAACAATAACACAGGCAAATGGTTTTAAAACAACTAACATGTTTAACACTGTCACTGTTTCTTTTCAAGTTATGCAAACATTCTTTTTAAGCCAAGGTAGAGATCCCCAGCATTCTTCTTGTCAGCATGCCATTTGAAATGGTTTTATATCCGTGTCCTGAAGGAAAACAATCTGATAATGTACCAGTGTTATAATTTGCTTGCTTGTGTTGTCATTTTGAATTATGCATGCAAAGGAAGTTGAACGTAGTGTTATCGAGAATCCTTAATGCCAACCTGTAGTTTTGAACTGTACCGTGAACTGTAAATGCTGAAACAAGAATTTCTTTTTCAATAATAATATATGTATTTAGTTACGGTTTATATTTTCTTAAAACCCAGCTCTCTTTGAATTTTCCCCTATCCTATCTCATTTCCCTTCTTACACTTACTCGGGGTAAAGTCCTACTAACTAGTAGCAGTGACACTGTTTAATAGGTGAAGCAGGTGTTCTTTAGCACATAGGCTACTATAAGACTGACTTATTTTACTACCACCACCACACTGCAAATCAGGCAGATATGCAACTGTGTATGGCTCTGTACTCACAGCCATAAGAACCTATTCTGTGGATTTGGTATAATTCCCATGTACCATGTCACATGCATGAAGGGTCATGAAAGGCTCTAGAAGCAAGAGAGGTACGCTCCCCTTCTACGTACTCCAGATGTAGCCAGAGTGATTCAACACCTGATGGCATCTTGCCAAAAATTAACTGTGAAAGGTAGAACCCCTATTTACAGCAACAAAACGCAGCGTGTGCACGGAAGATGAGCGACAGCAAGCCACTGTATTAAAGGGAAGAGGCCATTACAGCATTAGCCAATTAAATGTCACAACTCCAATGCCCAAGACTGCTGGTGCAGATCCCTCAGGCACATGGTGACTGGAGCACACCAGCTGACACAAGAATCCCTTACCCTAGGCAGCGGCTGAAGAGAATGGTTGCCTCCATACAGTGATACACCGCCAGCCAAAGGCACATCCTTTCCATGTTCTAAACGGGAAGCTGTCCCAACGACAATCTTTAGCACACGAGGGTGGGACCACAGAAAGGCAACTGCCTCTTGTAAAGTGACTTAACAGGAACCGTAACGACAATACAAAAAAATTCAGTGGGACGTGAAGGGTGCTGATGTCACAGCAAACCATGGCTTATGGCCTGTTACTCCGGGACAGTGCTAGAAGTAACTTGTGGCTTGGAATGCTGGCTGTACCCACCACAAAACAAGTGCCCATTTCTTCTGCCACCTCAGCAGTTACTTGTACCAGGGGCCAATGCTTCCTTATAAGACCCAGTAAGGATATACTGCTTTCGAAGTCAGAAAACTGTCCCTCTTCTTCCTCCGCCCAACCCTTCTGACTCTGGTGTATGGGAAGTGAAGGAGTCTGAGCAGCTGAGTGCTAACTGCGGAACAGTATTTATACTCTGTGCAGAACTGGAACTGTGACCCTGATGTATTGTGCAGTGGCCCTGTTTAGATCATAAGCTCTCTGCGACAAGGACCGTGTGTTTGTTAGCACTGTGAGGCCTCAACCCCGATTGTGGTCCCTGACCACCACTGTTGTATAAAACATGTATATTAATATTTTGGAGCAACATATCCACCACTGCCACTGCATGTTTCAGTACTGAAGTAGGCCAGTGTGATGCAATAACAAGTGCCACCAGTCACACAGAGGGGGAAGTTCCATATAGGCTTCCAAACACCAGTTTGCTCTAACTAGTTGCTTTATACGATGGCATAACAGAAGTAAATACCCAGCTTTCTCCCAACTTACCAAGTCCCCAATTCAACATCCCTTTCAAGAGTAGATAAAATTCTTTCAGCTCGAAGTAGAAGATTAAACAAAACGGAAATGTTCCATTCATGTTTAACCTTCCTGTGCTGATGAACTGTGCTGAGGGGGTTATGAGTCATGAAAAACATGCAGTGGTCCCTCCTCTAATTAAAAGTTCCTGTTTTATCTCTGGCTCATAGCAGTGCTTCAGTTAGTTAAAAAAGCAGTGGTATTCATTCCAAAGATTGCCTAACTCTCTCACAAACATCATAATGAAGCTCCCCCTCCCCACCCCTCCACCATCTGTTCAGTGCCTTTTTGCTACTGGCGAGGATACAATTGTGTGCTGTAAATGAAACACACCATTTTTCTAAACAAGGTGGTGTGTGTTCTTACTTTGTCTGTACTTCCATTTGCTTATTCCTCTTTTGTTATCTTTCCATTTACTCATTCCTCTTCTTCCATTCCTCTCTCTTTCATTCCTGCTGTTTTTTTCTCTCTAGTGATGCACCTCTGTCATGGTGTTGTGCCGTATCAAGCCAAAACTGGCACCTCTGTCTGCTTGTATGTTGTAAGTCTCACACTCTATGTTCTCTCTCTCTTTAGTGTCTCACTTTTCACTCAGAATAGCTTCATCTTTTGTGGTTCTTATAATGTGCAGTATCCAATGAATGCAACTTTTATCCCAGTAATATGTCTCATTGCATGGCTGAAAATTAAAAGACACTACTGAAGTGGTGCTGAAACCATGTTTTGTTATATTTCCATGATTACAGACATGGCGATCTTTGTATGCATTTCTTTTAAATGTGTGCACTGCTCGAAATTCATTATCATCCAGTCTGATTATGACAATCCATAACTATGTGTTACCTATCATTGATGGATGAAGCATGTGCCATTGCATAAATGGACAGGGTTTGTTGGTAAGCCCCAAAAGGCAGCATAAACTTTCTGTACTTTGGGTGACTAATCTTGGAGCAGTCAGCCCAATGGGGAATCATACCTATTCTCAAGGCTGCAGGAGTGGAGCTGTTTCACGCACAGGGAATGCATGTGGAAGTTTCCCACATCAGGATGTATAGTTATTTTGGCCCAGATCCACAAAAGGACCTAGGTGTTGCGATGTTCAGGATCTCCACATCTAACTTTTAGGAGTCTAGGAAAAAAAAACTCCCAGGAACAACATGGTAATTCAGAAAGCCTGGGTTAGGCACCTAGGGTCCCTGTACAATGAATGGGGAGAGACAGGCACGATGAATGTGATCCACAAACCCAGCACCCGAGGTTGGCAGCTTCTTAAGCCACCCAATGGTAGATGAGGGGATGTGTGCTAAGCCCTGCCACTCTCAGAGATAGGTGCCAAGGTGTAGGCACCTATCTCTGCTAGCGATCCATGAACTAGGGGGAGACAGGTGCTCCTCTGCCTCACTCGCATGCAGGGTCCAATCCAGTAGGTGTGCTCAGAGACCTACTAGATCTCCTTCCTTCTGCCTTTCCCCACCTCTGTTTTTGGCAGGAGGAGGAGCAGCTCTCTTATAACCTTAATCTCAGCGGTTAGAGCATTCGCACAGGATGGGGGAGACCCAGGTTTGATTTCCACCCCCAGGCATGAGGAAAAGAGATTGGAACTGCCACCTCTCAGGGGAGTGCCTGAACCACTGAGCTATGGAATAAACTGACGAATGGCTCCCTCAGTGTCTCCTTTGGAAGCTACTGCACTTTTAATTAAATAAATGAATAATTAAATATTAATTAGGCCAGAGAAAGAGAATGACTCTACAGCCTAGTGGTTAGAGCACTCACCTGAGAGGTGCTGATCTCTCTTCAAATCCTCTCTCCTCCTCAGGCAGAGGGGGGACTTGAACTGGTTGTCCCACATCCCAGATGAGTGCTCTAACCACTGGGCTAAAAATTATAATAGAGCTCCTCCTCCCCAGTTCTGTGTAAATCTACTGGATCAGGCCTTGCAGGAGTGCCGCCGCCCTCCCCCAAGTTCATGGATTGCTCTGAGGCTTATGGGGGAGATAGATGCCCTGACACCTGGAGGGAGGTTGCATATGCTCAGAGTTAGAAACACATGTATCAAGGGAACTTTTACTGCAAACACGTAGGTGCCGAGTGAGTTTAGGTGCCTAAAGGGTTCGGCAGCCACAAGCAGGAATGCTGTGGCTCACAAAACAGGACTTTAGCACCTAAGTACCTTTGTGGATCTGGGCTCTTCGTCACAGCCATCTTTATGTTTTCCTCCTGGCTACCTCCCAGAAATGGGTGCCTTCCCTGAACTGACCCATAATGCCACTTACCTTTCCTTCTTCCAATCTCTCCTTGAGAACCAGTGCTTCTGAAATGCTAACATACAACTCACTAGCTAATCAAAGAGAGGTTGGAAGGCAGTTACAGCTATACTTTAATAAACATTTTTTCTTTCTATTTTAATATAAGGTACAAAACATGAAGATTAAAATTGTAGATATGTATGCATCCCCTCCAGCCTCTGTATGTGCTTACACTTAGTCTGTCAGCTGTTCAGGGCAGGAATTGTGTCTTCCTATATGTCTGAACAGTACCAAGCTCAATCTGGCTCTGATTTCAGTTGGGGCCTCTGGAAACTGCCAAAATATAAATAATTCCACATGTGTCTACCCACACTGGGGTGGGACACTGAGCTAAGTATGCAAAGTCAACCACTCCAAAGTTAGGAAATGCCAGAATTAAGATTGCCTGTGCAATCTCCCTCCCCCAACCCCCGCCACACACACACCCTTGTGCATATACATTAGAATACAGTCTTTAATTACATGGTCACATATTATTATGTTCTTATGTATTTTTCCCACAGAGGCCCTGCCTCATTCAGTGTATAGGACAGAGCTGATCTGGGGATGAATCAGGGTTATGTAATAAAGTAAACTGTTGTCTGTAGGGCCCCTGGGCCTCATTTGTTGCAGAAGGTGGAAGGTGTGTATTACAGTTCCAGGTAACTGCACCCATATCTTCCCCCTCCCTCTCCATCGTCCACTCCTGGAGTGCTCAGTCAGGTCTCAGGTTGCCTGCCATCATCTGTCACTGGGTAGGGACCCTTGTCCCATTCTCTTCTGACTGGGAGTATTAAGGCTGCACAAGCCCCTGCCATCCACTGTGATATTCACAGCAAGCCAGTCTGCGTAGATTTGATTTTTTCAAAGGCTTATAACTTGGCCAAGTTTGGGCAGATTTTCATGAGGATGGTAAAGGAGACAGCCCTGACACAAAGGCTACTCCTCTGCCAAATTTCAAGTCCCCACTCCACAACATGGGAGCGCTAGAGCATTTCCAAAGGAAAGGTCACCAGAATTTTTGTTTAATGTAAAAAATGGAAAGTATTTTCTCCTCAGAAATAGGTGAACAGTTTTGGCTGGAGTTTTCCAAAACAATTTAGCCTGTCATGGAAAATTTCAGCCCAGATCGTTTAAATTTAGCAAAGTTATCAACATCTGAAAACAGGGCTTTATTATGGGAAGTGTTGGGGAACCTAATAATAGGTAGTGGTACCAGGAAGGCTGCAGAGCTCCTGAAGACTCCATACCATGGATGTACTTTTACCCAGGTCTGGGCTCAGAGTATGTACCCTTTGCAATGTACGAAATGTGGACAATACAGAGCAATCTCACTAGTAACATCACTAAAGATTTGCTATCCTGACTATTGTGCTAGGAAGGTTTTCAAGCTCAGCCAGCAAAAGGGCCACTTAGTGACCTTAACAATATGTGGGTGGGTCTATCCTTCTGTACAGTGTGGTCAGCTGGAATCTCTCTCTCTCTCTCACTGCATCCCCGGACTGTTTTCAGTTGTACGCCCCTTTCTCAGTATATAATAAATAGCTGGAAACCTGGTGAACCACCTCCAATGGGAGAATATCCAGAACATATGTGTTAAACAGGAGAGCGACATTCCCTCATTCCTTTGTTTAGTTAGATACAGATTATTATAACCATGTTAAGTAGAACTTTACTCCAGAAGTAATCCCAAGGACTTCAATAGGACTGCGATGAGTAACATGCTACACAATGTGAGTATGGATGACAGAATCTGTCCCTTTAGGAGAATATACAAGTGACAAGGGCTATGCATCTGTTTTAACTGTACAGCTGCAAATCTTGATTTAGAAAAAAGGCATTCTAATAAACTGATTTTAGGCATGCTTATTTTGGTTCAAGTTATAAATGCAGGCTTAGATTAAAAGGAAATAGGTCCCTCTACCTGTGGAAATTCATAAGTGCATTTTAGGCTACTATAAACAGCAGGATCTTTCTTAATTTGATGTTTTCATGCTAATAATGAGATTGTGCTAAGATAGTATGGGCATTTAATAAATCATTTCCTAGATGTCATCTGTAAAATAAGTTACTGTTATATTTTATAACAACTTTCATTTATCTAGTCCCTCTATTCAATCTGAATTATATTTGCTAGGGATATTCATCCCTAAATATGCTAATTTTTTAGATTTACAAACAAACAAGCAGTGCCGTGCAATTTAGATTACATGGCTATCATACCGTCCCTCTCATTTGTGTCTGTCAGCTTCAGTTCCAAACAGATATTTGCCACTTGAGTTGCTGATAGATAACCAATCTGAACACTAACATGTCCCATCAGATTTCTGCCAAATTGAATTACATTATTTATGCATTATCAGAGATCATCAGGATTGGAAGGGACCTCAGGAGATCATCTAGTCCAACCCCCTGCTCAAAGCAGGGCCAATCCCCAATTTTTGCTGCAGATTTCTAAATGGCTCCTTCAAGGATTGAACTCACAACCCTGGGTTTAGCAGGCCAATGCTCAAACCACCGACCTATCCCATTTATATCTACCACTGACAATACACAGTTGCTGTAGTATGCTCGCTTTCAGTTTAAACTACATTACATGTGCACTGTATAGGTATATATTCAATATGCTCTTAAATGTGAAATATCTATTTTGAAGAGCTTTCAAATGCACCTAATGGAATAGTAGCTAGATGACAAATAAGGCAATTAAGGCTCACAGTCGGTTTGTCCAATTATCTATTTTAGCATTTTATACTGCTGTCCAGAGTGCCCTTCATGTAATATCAACAGCAAAAGCAATGTCCTTAGTTAATTTCATGGAGTCTGGCACAGCTCCCTTTTTGGGGTTAAAAAACTGCAAGAGGTAAAGATGATGGTGTGGGTTTTTTTTTAAGGCTGATTTGTTTCTGACTGCATTTCTGATTTGCGTTTTTTGGGGCTTTTATTTTTTTTTTGTTTGGGGGGGTGTAGGCGTTTACAAGGTGGAACTTTTTTAATGTTTAAAAAAAAAAAGGTATTTTCTGCTAGCCTTGTTCTCAGAAATAGCCTAACAGTTTTGGCTGAAGTTTTCCACGACAGTTTAGCCTGTCATGGAAAATGTCTCAGTGTTGTCTCTCTTACAGTGCAAAGGTCTTTTCAGAGAGGACGTTTTTGCAGCATTCCTAAAGACAGATTCTGGATTGACAACTGGACTCTTCCTCTTCACCATTCCCAGGTTCAGCAGCTGTTATTTTATTTTATTTAAAAGTTTTCATTATTCTAGGAAAGATTTTGCTGAACAGTGAACTTTGAGCAATGCCCTGATATCATTTCCAGAATTCTTTGGCTCCAGCTTCCAAAAATTTCACGCTGGGAACTGGCAGCTTCACCATTCTGATGAACACAGCTCTTCTGGTGGATCATGACTGGACAGGTGATCTCGATCCTATGCCACTGAAAGCCTAAAAACTTTCACTAAGACCTTGAATTGGCTCTGGAATCCAATGGGAAATCACCAGAGGATGCAGAGCACTGGGGAGACATGGCTTTTCCTACCTGCTGTACTAGCTCAAGTATCCAGGTAATCTTCATCTTCAGCCCCAGTATTTTCTGACTGTGATAAACACATGGATCACTATGGTTAGACCCTTATCCGTGGAGGGAAGGGTAAAGTCTCAAACCAGAGGTGGAAGGCAACCTTTGCTGAACTGTTGTTATCTGTGTATCCACTAGTAGTGATGAATCCTGTCAGATCTTGAGACTTCATAATGCATTGCTTACATGTATCCCTACATGTTAGTGATACGCATCTACCAGGCATTGACAGTCACACAACAGGAAATGTGACCTCTGGGCCAAATCATCCCTTCTTCAGGGAAATATTATGGAAGGGCCAAGAAACTAAGTTGAAATTCTGTCCCTCCTAGTGTAAGGGGAGGGTGGCATGCACTAGCTACTCTGAGGCTGGAGTAGTACCACAGAGCCCTGCCTGGGCAAGAAGACTCCTCCTCCCCCGTCGTTTGTGGAGGAAGCATGCAGCTTGACTGGTTGGTTTAAGATTTTAAAACTTTACAATGGACAGTAATAGCCCAATAGGAATTTCAATGTATCTATAACCTGCGGTGGACTTTAGCTGTAAGTAAAAGTAATAGTTTTGTTTCACACAAACCCCCCGTATATCTCACTGCAAAACTCCATACACTTGAGCATTTCATAAACTATTGATTTAAGGGTCAAGAACCCATAACATTCACAGTGAGTCACCCTGTTCTTTTATACCATGTTTCCCATGCTGTGTATTTTAATTGGTCATTGTCATTATACTAGCACAATAAATAATGAATGAAAACAGGCCTGATTATGAGGAGTGTATCTATTTAACCATTATTTAGATAACATGTCTTTTAGGGCATTGCTAGACACACCTACCAATGAAACCTGATGAAGGTGGGTTGGGCTGTATCTTCTCTTTAGTGTTCTCCTGAATGATGTCCCAGAGCTGCCATATAAACTTGGGATGGAGGATGTAAAACGGCTGGTTTGGATTCCTCCTGCGATGCTGCACGTAAGGCGTGAACAGGTTATAGTCTGGCTTCTTAAACCACTGCGGGAGGTGGAGGGAAAAAAACAAGTGAGAAACTGATCAGTCCTAGGGTGCTTCTCAATACACACTAAACAGTATATAAAATACAACACCATTAATGATCTGGAGGATGGCGTGGATTGCACCCTCAGCAAGTTTGCAGATAACACTAAACTGGGAGGAGAGGTAGATACGCTGAAGGGTAGGGATAGGAGACAGAGGGACCTAGACAAATTAGAGGATTGGGCCAAAAGAAATCTGATGAGGTTCAACAAGGACAAGTGCAGAGTCCTGCACTTAGGACGGAAGAATCCCATGCACCATTACAGACTAGGGACCGAATGGCTAGGCAGCAGTTCTGCAGAAAAGGACCTCGGGGTTACAGTGGACGAGAAGCTGGATATGAGTCAACAGTGTGTCTTTGTTGCCAAGAAGGCCAATGGCATTTTGGGATGTATAAGTAGGGGCATTACCAGCAGATCGAGGGATGTGATCGTTCCCCTCTATTTGACATTGGTGAGGCCTCATCAGTTTTGCGCCCCACACTACAAGAAGGATGTGGAAAAATTGGAAAAGGTCCAGCGGAGGGCAACAAAAATGATTAGGGGACTGGAACACATGACTTCTGAGGAGAGGCTGAGGGAACTGGGATTGTTTAGTCTGCAGAAGAGAAGAATGAGGGGAGATTTGATAGTTGCTTTCAACTACCTGAAAGGGGGTTCCAAAGAGGATGGATCTAGACTGTTCTCAGTGGTAGCAGATGACAGAACGAGGAGTAATGGTCTCAAGTTGCAGTGGGGGAGGTTTAAGTTGGATATTAGGAAAAACTTTTTCACTATGAGGGTGGTGAACCACTGGAATGCGTTACCTAGGGAGGTGGTGGAATCTCTTTCCTTTGAAGTTTTTAAGGTCAGGCTTGACAAAACCCTGGCTGGGATGATTTAGTTGGGGATTGGTCCTGCTTTGAGCAGGGGGTTGGACTAGATGACCTCCTGAGGTCCCTTCCAACCCTGATATTCTATGATTCTATGACCAGCAGCTCTGTGTTGGCACTAAAGTACGAAAGCACAGTCACCAAGCTGGCCTGGGTTGCTGGACATTTTCTTAGTGAGCCAGTCCTGAACTTGGGCTGCTCTGCTCCCTTCTACATGCATGTGCTCCCAATATGCAATTCACTCCAGTGCATAGAATCAACACAAGGCCTATGCACCATTCACAAACCCGTGTTAAGTAATTAATTAGGGGTTAAATAGGTTTAGTGGAGAGAATTTCATTCCAAAACATCACATCGCTACAGCACCTCTCTGTCCCCACCAGCTGCAGCAGCTCCTGGAGGAGGCTGGAAGCACTCTGTCAGCTGCACTAAAGGGGGTTCACCTGATGAAACAGGCACACTTATCTCCAGCTGCAGTATGCTCAGCTCTATGGCTTCCCTGGGCTCCCACTGCTAATAGCCTCCTTTTCTACAGAGCCCCTCCAGAGACTGCAAGATGGATTTTTGGGGGGTGATGGTGACTGGAAACAAAGGGATTTGGCAGAGGAGGGCACTAGCAAATTAATTTGGAAGTCTGGGGACTTGTGAATAAATATATATGGGGGTGTGCTTGAGGGCAATGGATTTGGAAGAGACTAGGGAAGTGTATTATGTATTTTTATTTAAGTGTAGGGTTTTTGTGGTGGGACATAGGGGAAGATGGAAAATACAGATGTGATGATTTACCTTAGCTCATGGCCCTCCACAAAAATCCAGCACTTTCCCTACCTGCCACACACAGCAATTTCTCCCATATTTATTATCTAACTCTCATTTTGAATACACAAAACAGTAAAACCTCACCCCAACTCCCTACCAATCCATCTGTCCTCAGTATCTCTTAAAATAAGTAGTCTGCTCAGGTAGAAGTGAGGGCCATTCAAAAGACTGCCCAGTGAATATATATCTCCATATAGAAATGGTGTGCTTAGTTATAAGTACCACATTAAAATCTTGAGATCATTGAACTGACCGGTAGCTATGAGCTGTAGAATCAAACTATTCATTGCAAGTAACTTTGTCCACTGTTTTCAGCTGGTTGGGAGGAAATGAGCAAACTGAGGACTTACCACATTCAGATTTGCAGAGTAAGGAGCAGGATCCCAGGCCACTAAAACAACATCTTTATATAATGAGCTGTCAATGAAGTGATGGTTTGGATTGGTGAGAATCTGCAAAGAAACACACACACAAATGTTTTCAATGAAACCTGAGCAACATGAATCCTCTCTCTACAAAAGACCATGCAAAAGAATAGCACTAGTAAATGCAAACGTGTACCAGAGTGAAGTCCAGGAACTCTATGAGCATCAAGCTTTTTGAAACACGGCACATCAGTGGCAACACAGATACACATCCATGTTGTTGTTGGATGCTCAACAAGCCAACAAAAATGGTGGGGGAGGGGGAAAAGGGGGTTATCATCAACCTTTTCTTGCTAAGGCTAAATGCAAGGGGTTTGGGTTTTTTTAAACACGTAAAAAGACCTGAGCCCACAGGAAGTACAAAAAGAATAATCAACTTCCCCAAGGCCTTCTCATCCCCCTCCACAGCTTCAGATGCTCCTAGTTATCTGGTGGCCCTGTGGATACTCATAGGGTGTGTGTCCAGAAAACAGTCAGGAGTTCCTCTCTGAAATAAAAGCTTCCCTCAGGCACTTGTGCTACTTGAACCTTCAGTGAACTTTTATCAATTTTACATGTTAAGAGTTTCACCGTAAGCAGCACTCGTGCGTGTGTGAAGATTCAGTTCACTGAATTACAACTGTGTCCACAGTGGATCACCAGTAAGGAACATGTTACAGGCCCACCCAGAAGCCCACCAGTTGTGTGTGGACATAGCTATGTATTTTGGAAATTTAAAATTAAAGTATTACTAGCCCAAACTGTACATCGGAACCTTTTCTTGGGGAGCCAGCAACTTTCACAGAGAGATGTGATTCCAGGATTCTACTTTGGAGTTCTGTTGTTTTTAGCTTAAATAATACAACTCAGATCCACTGCTGTCAATTGCCCTTCTGTTTCTCTCCAATACATCTTCTCCCTAATCCTTCTAGCCCACTGTGGCTTTCCTTTCATTCCTCTTGGCCCATCCTTTCCCTGAGCTGCTATTCCTTTGGCTCCTAAGCAGATCTTACTGATCCCTGGGTCATCCAAACCCAGGGAGGATTGGGAAGAATGATTTCAACAGTGATTAAAACAGCATTAATTTGGCTCCAGCTGTTTTATTAATGTGAATTCCAGACAAATGAATTCAAAACTAATTGTCATTTCCCTTTAGATTTCAATGAGCCATATTTCCTTGAGAAAAATAATTTTATTGCCATAGCAGTATTTTCCCTACCACAAACTTTGAGCTTAGATGACTTTTCATCAGGTTTCTACAATACCAGAAAAATCAGTCCAAACCACCACAGTATCCCTAACCTCCCATTTCTATGGGTAGTGCTTTTTTAAAATACTGTGAACACTTGTCTTCAGAGTATAAGCTTATTAAGGCAGAGATCATGTCCTCTTTTAAGTTTGCTCAGCACCTACCACATTGGGGGCACTGCTAAAAACAAATAGTTAAGAAAAGGAATAATTTAACAGTAATGCTACTAAATTGAATTATGCAAGGTTTGCTATGACACAATTTTGAAAATGCAATAATAATAATAATTAAAATTTATATAGCATGTTTTATGTTCAAAACACTGTAAGGGCACTAACTAATTAAATCCTCACAATCCCCAGATGGGGAAACTGAAAGGAGAAAATGAAGTGGTTTGTCCAAGGCCAGAGCTTAGGAAATCAGTTTTAGCAGTTTTTGAAAATTGAAAAAAATACTTCAACCACAAGATGTCACTACAGCTCAACAAATGTTAACCTGTGTGGAGGAAAACTTTTTTCTGGTTATTTGAGGAAGTTCAGCTCAGATGCATTGTTTAGTTTTCACTGAGGTTTCTGTATTTTGTATACATTTCCAACTGGACTTACAAAGAGGTGCAGTGACTTGGCCTAGGTCATGCTCCAAGACAGCTCACTCCCAGGAAAAGGTGGGGTGGCGGTTTGTAATGGAAGATAGGGGAGTTCCAGGAGCCATGCTCCTACGGGATCAGGGGGACCCAGAAGCAGTATGCAGGCACAAATCCTCTGCAGTGATGACTCTGCCTTAAGCAGGTACCCTGAAATCTCCAGGCTTCATCCAAAACTTTGCAAACCCATCCTTGATTTCTTTGTCTCGGGGAACTCTGTGATTCCAGACTCATCAAGTTTCCTGCCACTATGCAAGAATACCCTGTAGGGGAGAACTGACCCTGAATGTTTCATCAGTTCTACATCATGGTTATGTCATTGGTGTGAATCACTAGTTGCTCACCAGATTATCCAACCATCTTTGTCCTTAAAATGTTTGATTTCTAAGATGTTAATTAAGCAATGTTATATTGTATAGAAATAATAAACACATGAGTTCACAAAAGATTCTGACCTGAGAGTTAATGATGCGCATGGTCGTTTTATTTCCAACATCTTTTTCATAGCCACGTGTAGGAGCAGAATTAAATCTCAGAACTGCATCATGAGAATCTAAGGGCACAAAAGGGCTACATTTATATATTTCTTAGTAAGATAAAACAATCTAATTTCAAGGAAAATGGATTTGTAAATATTCCTAATCCTGGTATTCAGAGGATAAATATTCTACCATGAGGCAAAGCCAAAATCCTCTTTATCTGCCATATGTTACTACAATTGTTCAAATCCACTGGAAAAATACAGAACAATCCAATACTAATTTAACTTGCAATGCATATGCAGTGTAGTTGCAGCCATGTCATACCTTGCCCACCTTGTCTCTTGCATTATATACAGATTTACCCTCACTGGATAAAATTAGGATGGAAAGGTCCTCACAACTTTGCATATTATTTCTACTGCAATATATTAAAACAAATACTTCATGCAAAGATGCGTTAAACTAGGTCAGTATGCAGCTGTGTAATGATCATCACTGCTTAGATACAGAGGTCTATAATAGGCTTATATTTTATAAAGCAGAATTCTGTCCTCCAAACCTGCAAATCCAACCTCATTCCCCAAATCAGTGCAGCTCTTGTGGAATCTGTGGGTGGGCAGAGCTGTCAGCACACAGGCCCTATTCCTCCACAGCAACTTTAGGGCCCTCTCTGGCTTCCCGGACCCTGGGCTCCAATAGGGCTGCACTGCTAGGGCTTTCACACAAACTGGAGTCGTGTAATTAGGAAGAGGAGCTCTGTATAAGAGACAACTGACTTTGGCCCCAATTCAGCAAAGTGGTCAACCATATGCTTCTCTTTAAGCACATGCTTAAGTCCTGTTGACTTCAGTTTAAGCACTTTGCTGGACTGAAGCTTGCATCAGTATTGTCTTTGTGAGTATTCCCTCCTGCTTATGTAGATTTCAGAAGAGGTTGGAAGGGGGTGCAGAGGAACTATAAGAAAGGGGGTTAGTGAGAATGGCACTTCCACTACAGACAGTACTCTCCTGCTTTCTTACAAGTTTTGTCCCTAGGCCTATGGAGAGAGAGAGGATGATCTAGGCCAAAGCATGTTACCCACCTCTTCTCATATGACAATTTAACTGATGAGTACAATGAGTTACTATAACAGTTATTAATTTAACTATATTTAAAATGCACCCATCCATAGCTCTGGGCACAGCTACAAAATCATTCAAAATGGAGCCCAGCATTTACTTTGCACGCCAGTCCCACCCAAACGGACTCTCCCCTCTTCACCCAGGCCCTCTGCCTGGAAAAACAGTGGAGAGCTACTGCAATGCAACACATCCCAACTCTGAGGTCAATTGAGCTACTTGTGTGAATGTGAGATTCGGGACTGAGCCCTGCAAATCTGCAAGGTGCTGAGCACTTCAGCTCCTTCTGGTACCAAGCAGGGAGGGGAGGCTTCTTGTACATCCCTGTGCGCCATGTAATTGCCTCACATAATCTGGCTCTAAAGATCTTGGCCCCTTCCACCTAAACATAAGTGACCTGATTTTTTCCCCCAGAAACATCAATGGGAGCTGCAGGCTCAGCACGTCTGAAAATTAAGCCCCTTATATTTAGGTGCCTAAATATGGATTTTAGGACCCTAACTTTAGGTGTCCAGATTTGAAAGTTTTGACCACAATCTTGTGACAAGGGGAGTTATATAGTTCACTGTGTGTTTGTTAACACATTTTAGCACAGCGTCTTAAAACTTCCAACATCCACTAGTGCTGGCTTTTATATCATGTGTAAAAACCTTTTCTTTTAAAAGAAAAGTAAACTGGGGTGCAGTTTAACACTTACATTAGCTGCTTTTAAGAGAAGTGATTTTAAACCTTGTGAAGTATTTTGAGGTATTCAGGATAAAGCTATAAAATGACTGACTGCTGTTCACATGTTAAGGGGAAAATAAAACCTCCCCATGACTTCACAACAGACTGTGATGCTGCCAAAACAGTTGTGTTTCCATTAAATAACATGACCTGCAATGCAAGTATTTACAGTTGCAACATCGATCTTCTTTCAAAAACACCTATGATGAGAGTGCAAAAAGCAAATTAAAGTCTGTGACAGCATTTCTAATAGGAACACAGAAGAGGGAGCTAAAGGGCTACTAATAAAAAGTCCCTGTGATCCTCTGTTATCAATTTTTTACTTCTGGAAAGGTATCTAGTTACAACCCTGATATGCGTATCACAAACTACGAGAAGGCGCATGCAACCTGGAGCTGCACCCCACGTCCTTCCATCAGCAGATCTCTCCCTTTCTAGATGGCCTCTCTTCGGGATTGAAAATCTGTGCCTCAGGAAGGAGAAGCTTGGGGGCAGAAGGGCTGATGGCAGGGCCAGCATCACAGTTCTACCACACGCTATGTGTGCAGCGTGTTATATCCCCCACCCTGACTCCAGTGGAGCATTTCCAAATAGCTGGAGTGGGCATTAGAGCTGGTGCAGCAGAACAGAGGCCTTGCATGGGTGGCTCTAGCATTCAGCAGATCCCCAAAGACATACAGGTTCTGTGATCAAGCACTCCGCTAAGCCCTGACTGCCTGACAGAAAGTTCTGGAGCAGGCTTCTGAGGGGAACCTTAATTTTCATTCCCCCGTTCCTTCCCCACAGGCTTTTCCGATAGAGGGGTTTGAAATGTTAGACGAAGGCCTTATTAATGGTGGCATTTCAAACCTGTAACTTTTATTAGGACTCTTCCACTCAGGAGAGACACATCAGGTGAACATTCCCAATTAAACTGAAGGCTCCACAAGAATATGGAGTGAGTGGCATGAGGCTGCCATGACCAGAATAGTTATGAGGGAATGCTTAGTGCCATGGAGTCAAACGGGCACTAAAGGCACCACAATGTCAGGGTGAGCACCCAATACCACACCGAAAATACCTGTGCTGGTTTGAGACTCTGACACTAAAGGATTTTGCTTCATTTCAGTGACAGCACACAGTGGGAGGAAGGAATTGTTGAGCTATTTCACCTCAGAGGTTTCTAAATCAGTGGGACTTCTCATGAAATTGGGGGTTGCTCAGTTTTGATTTTAGCTGCAGGCTGGCAGGGCACTTGTGCTGTGCTGGAGGCCAAGTAGAGTAGTTTAATAATGACAGCGGTTCTAATAGATCACAGAGATTTAAGGGAAACCCGTGGCAAAGAGACAAAGCAGTAAGATGAAGCAGATACGAGGATGAGAAATCCTGGATGATGGGAGGAATTATTAGTGTACATTCAAAGATTTCTATAGAAAGTTGGGACAGATAATTCTTTGTCCTCCAGAAGCAATTGGAGGAAATTTGATGCATACATTTCTTCCTTCTCTCGATCCTTTTAACATACTATGATTATGTCACATCAGTAAAGAAATCCTAAGACAACAAACAAAACAAAAGCTTTTCCTTACACTGTACTAATGTATAGACAGAAATACAATGAATCTTTTAAAAATGAAAGCCCGAGAATAAATCTAACCTGTTAAGGAAGTAAACATACATCATACCAATATGTAAAACTGTCACTGTTCTATTAAACTCAATGCATTCTTTGTGACCCAATCCATAATAAAATAAATAAAATGTCACCCTCTTAAAATGAGTGACTACCATGGGCCTGATCTTCTCTCAGTTATACTGGTTTCATACAGGAGTACTCCACTGAAGTCTATGGAGTTATATAGATGTAAAGCTGGGGAGAGAGAAGAACAAGGATCATCAGGCCTATCCCTGAAAAAGGATGGACCCTTTGATAGATGAACACACACACAACACACACACTTATGAGTGAGAAGCATTTTCACCCACCTATTTCATCCCCTAGAGAAGAGTTCAGTATTGCACCAGCAGACATAACTACGGCACAGCTTCCGAAGCCATGTGGATACAGTTTGCCCAGTGGAATTTGAGGAACGTGCTTTTCCCATCCAAGAGCTGAAAAGGGGGCCTCCTTGCCATCTATTGTTTTCACATGCACCCTGTCCTTGAGCTCACAGATGAGCTGGTCTCCTGTCAGTCTGGAGTTTCGTTTCCCTTTGAACCGCACCCCATGCTTGTTGGTGTTCAGATAGTCTTTCATAGCTTTCTGCAGACGAGGGTTCAGCATCTTGGAGGAGACATCCCCTTTCCAAAGCCTATAAAGGACGGATTTTGACATTGTGGAATATAACCCATCCCAATCATCAGACTCATCAAACAGCTGGCTTCTCCTGTGTGTCGGGTTTCTTTTCTTTGTTCTTTTCTCATGGGTCCATTTTTCCTGTAAAACATTTTCCTTCTGATCATCCTCATTGGGAGAGATGAATTTCACTATCTCTTGAATGTTGCTGTGTTGCCGAGGCTGGCCAGCAGCAAATAAATAGTTGTCATCCCCTTGATAGAAAGCATTTTTTGATTTTCTCCCTATCTGGGAAGGAAAATACTCTTCTTCATTTTCAAAGCCATCTTCTAGATCAATCCACTTTTTAATGCTTCCGGTCCCCAAATTAAATGAATCTAAGAGCTCTTTGTTAAGAAGCACCTCGTTCCTATCTATGGTTTCGGAGGATGATGGGTCATGTATTGCTCCCATAATAACTCTCTGCTTGCCCTGAATGGGCATGAGCCTCTTCGTCTCAGTGTAAGAGAAGGAACTTGGAACTGGTTCAGCAGTGTTGCTATCTGTAAAATAGATGAAGATCACCAAGAAAAGGAGACCCCATGCAAATAGCCCAAACAGCATTAGTTGTTTCCATTGCTTCAAGTTAGGTTTCATGGCAATGCCTGTACCAGCTCCTCTGTGCCTTGAAGTATTGGTGAAGGGGAATGAAACCTGAAAAAAATATCAAATATTAATCAAGAGCTGTTCTGAAAACAGAGAAAACGTAGAAGTATATTAACAAGTTCTGGCAGGAGTAGGCTCAGTGCATACACAGCAGCGTGGGAGTCTCAGGGGAAGAAACAAACATAGGCACTCAGGGACATCATATAGGTGACACACTTTGTCTCCATCCACATGGTGACAGCTGCTGGCTACAGAAGTCGTCTCTGGTGGCCAGTTTATAGAGCAACATTGGAACCTGCTTTGGAGGAGGTCATTTACTTGTCAGCTTCTGCTGTACCCAATACATCAAACTTAATAATGTGCATTATGGAGAAAGTCCAGCTCCCTCCTCTGTGGCCACGGAAGGTTATGTGCAGTCAAACCACTATGATTCTTCTGAATAAATGTCAAGGAGTTACGTAGACAGTACACACGGCCTCTACATGGCACAGAGCCTTGCTGTGCATAGGAGCTTGTGAGGGGAGGCTCATGGGCAGGCTGGGATAGGGCCTTATTCATTTACATGGGATACCTCCATTTTATATGGTTAAATTATGCAAGTGGATGTACACACCGCTGCAAGTTGTTCTACATACTATTCAGCAACATATTAGCCTCAGGCTGTGCTGTGGATAACTGTGTAACCTCAGCATGAATTTCAAATATGGATGGGTCTTACTGCAGACTGTGAGCCCAATTCTTCTCTCACACAGGTATAAATCAGAAATAACTCATGTGAAGTCAATGGTGTAACACTGGAGGAAAGCCAGCGCAAGTGAAAGGAGAATTAGGCCCACTACTCCTACAGAAACAGAAATCGGCTGCATGTAGCAATATGCTGGCAGCACATTTGTATTTTGAAGGACAAATTTCATTTGTCATAGAATAACATCGAGCACAAGGTATGTCTATTTCAGCGGTGTCACCTCATGCTTATACTACTACTCCTATGGCCTGATTATCCAGTGTTGCACTGGTTTTACATTGATGTATCGCTACTGAAATTTTCCTCAGCTGGTGTAAATTTGTGTTGCGTCATTGCACCATCTGAACCATCTTATCTGGCCCAATGGCTTTAAAACTGGTGTAGTCCAGCAGAAGATCAGGCCCTTTATATGCAAAACAACTGTCTTTTTCACATCCCCTGTACAACACATTCTGTGGTATTAGTGGAAAGAACACAGTGGATTTTTGTATGCCAAGAGTTAGCCAATTTCTAAAAGAGCGAACTTTTAGACAAGCCACTAAATATGCAGACAAATCGGACAAGCCACTAAATATGCAGCTCAAGGATAGCAACAGACTTTTTTTTTTTAAAAAAAAATCAGGTATAGGCTCGGAAATTTGCACTTTACCCACAATGCTGGGATTGTGGAGGACTTTTAGGGACAAAATCCTGGAAAAATGAAGTAAAATTTGAGTGACAGGACTTTACTCCAAGGAAGATACATTGCAGGGCTGATGGCTTGTCACAGACATTGGGATGCTCTTTACCACTGAGCTGACCAGCAACAGAAGAGCATATTATGGCAGAGTGGGGCAGAGAATCGGCCCATACATCCAGACACACATGGGGAGGATGCAGTAATGCAAGTGGGGCTTTGCAGATGCTAAGATCCGGGGGTGCCAATTACCCAAGTTAACAGTGTAGTAAAGCTATTTCCTGTTTTTCTAGTCTAGGCAAAGCCTTGAGCAGCAAAAGAGCAGCTGACTTGGGGCCTTACAAATGTCCAAGTAGAAACACAATATCACAGTGTCACAGCTGAGTGGCCAAGTTTCACTGCAAACAAACTTACTTCTAATACACAGAAGAAATTAATCAGTGTAACAATGAACAGATAATTCCCATGCGCTGCAAACACTCAGCTTGGGTTATACAAAACACTTGGAAAAATACCTATTATGCAGACTGACCCATTTCCTACTCCCCCACTCTGTCGGTGCAAGATGAGTCTCTTCAGTATGTTCACGAGCGCTGTTTCCACTTTTAAAAGACTCAAGGCTACTTCTGTCAGGAGACTGCTTACAGTATGATTGTTGTGTAACTTAGATCTGCACTGACGTTATTCTAACCTGCCCACTCAGCGTTCAAATGATTTGCATTTGTTAATCAGCATTCTTTGCCTGTCTGAACCACTCTCATCCCTTTTTATCATTTTCCCTGCTGGTTTCCATCCACCCTCCGCTTTTCAATGACTGCCTTCCGGACAGCACACATGATAAGTTACCCTTTGTTCATTCAGGTGTTCTTCTAGCTATACATTTCATGTTTGCAGTGTTGGTCCCAGAATATTAGAGAGATGAACGGTGGGTGAGATAATGTCTTTTATTGGTCCAACTTTGGTGAAAGAGACAAGCTTTAAGGCTTACACAGAGCTTTGCTTCCGGTCTCGGAGCTCTGTTTAAGATCAGACAGCTGTCTCACCAGTAGAAATTGGTCCAATAAAAGATACTACCTCACCCACTTTTTGTCTCTATACATTTCATGTAAGTTTCACAAAGGAAGTATCTTTCACAACCCTTCTAACAGTCCAGTTTTCAGAGGCTTAAGTCATTGAGGAAGAAGGCACTAACATTTTCCACTGATTTGTGAAACACATCTATTTAAAAATAATCCAGCATGAAATTTTACATATTTCTCATTTTCACTACATTTTATTACCAGAAGACTGTAAGAGGCAGAACAGTTTTGGTAGGCGTTGGCTTGTTTGTTTTTTGTCATGCAATGAATTTTTTTTCCAAAAAGCAATGGACATTTATACGGATGTATAGTTGTTAACAATGCAAACAGAAGTAGTGACAGATCAAGATTAAACCAGAAACCTTAGTAAAACATGAACAATTTACAGAACAACCTTTGGATGTATAAGATCCTTTGCAAAGTTTTTATCCCATGGAACAGGAGGTGAGGTCAGGCCACAAACATGAAGGATACCAGGGATCTCATGGACACCTGGGCCATCCAGGTGAGTCTCCGTGCTTCTTCACCAATTCTGGGCTTCCAATAAGGCCACATATACACCCCATTCCCCCACAGTTAGCATTGACTTCTGGCCACCACTACCCCAGTTAAAAGGGGAGCCACATGACACAAGTAATATAGCCCCAAGGAGTATCTGCAAGTGCAGAGAGCCATCAGTCCGACCTAGCCCCCTCCACCAAGTATGCAGCTACCAACTCTCCACTCCTAGCAAATCCCCTCCCATCTCACAGATCCAGGCTTTGTGAGGTCTTGGGAAGGTAAGGAAGTAAGGCAGTGCAGATTTGTCCAGGACCCCTCCCTCCCCCACACACATTTTCCAGAGTAGAAGGTGTGGAACAGTCACACATGGAGGGGGTCTCTCTGTGAGCAGCTCTGAGGCTCATAACTGGGCCTGAATGATTTCTCTTGTTTTATTTTTGTTTCTTGAAAATGAACATGCCAATTGTTGAGATGACAAAAATGCTGCATAGGAAACAAAAGATGTTTAGTAAAGACAGAAAAATAACACCAAGCTCATAGTATACGAATTAATCGGACTAAGGACTGCCATGGATTTCCAGTACTTCTGTCCAGGCAGCTAGCTCATGATGCAAATCTCAGACTATAAAAGGAAATCTAGACCAGTCTCCATGTCTTCTCCTTGGTCCAATAAGTTCTAAATATGCCACCCCAGATTTACCTACCCCCTTACTTACACACAATGAGACTACTTGGGTATTAAGAGGCTACCCACACTGAGCAAGGCTGGCACAATGGAGAATGTAGTTGAAGATAAGATAGTATCTTCTTCAGCAAAGGTAATAGTGTCCCTTTGGCAGCCCTGTAGCTCAAGATCTTATCTTGCTGCATCTCTCCTGAGCAGTGGACACTTCTAAGCATTAGCTGATGTCTAAGCTCCAACTCCTGTCTGGAGAGTTTTTGTCTTCAGCCAGTTTGCTTGCAGAAAAGCCAGTTGAAACTATATCTCGGTCAGGGGGTCATTTATTGATTTAATAAAATACTAACAGTGTATGGACAGCAAAAGGCAAAACCATGTATATTTTTTAAATTTCCAGAAAATGACCCTAATTCTCAATCAAAATTAAATCAAGCACAATTTTTCCAATGAAAGAAGCAGTTTATGAGAGGCGTAACTTTGTTCTGCTAAGATTCAAGTGACTGGTGTGCTGCCTCTCTGCTGTAACTCCCATTGTTTCGTAACAAGGAGCACTTTCAGTTTTTCTAAGCCAGGCCTCCTGACTATTTATTAAACTGAGAAGAGATGGGTGAAGAAGATCCCTTTGGAACATTCCTCCCTTTCAAGGCTGCCTATTGTTAAATTAATCTGCATAGACCCTAGCAGCTAAGAGGTCGGCATGGTTCAAGTTGATGTTCTAAGTTTTGCACTGTTATGTTAAACAGGGTTTTTCTTGGCTGCAGTTTTACAAAGAGCAGGTCACCTTGGGGTTATTTGGGATACTGAATGTTAGTTGCAGGCAGACATTCCCAGGGTGCTGGAAATCAGACTAGAGTTTATTTCATGGAAACCTTAAGTAGCCTGAGTAGATAGGATGTGCTTCTTTAGTCAACTAATTCCATGGTATTAAGAAACCTCTGTCATGAGTCAAGACAGCTGGAGGCTGCAATTCTAGGGTAAACGCCACGCACCCTTGCATGAGGGAGGTGCCAAATTATTTTTTAGCATTATCTCACTATTGCTACATAGACCTGTACAGTATGCAGCAAAACTGACAGACCCCTGCAGATGGTGTCTGCCAAATATATATATTGGTTTGTTTATGGCATAGGAACTTGTCTATTGGCTATAATTAGGCCTTCTAATTAATGAATCGCTCTTGGATAGCTTTGTTACTATCTTTAATCATTATTTGCCAGATAAGTCAACTGTATTCAGTTGGCAGCTTTACACCACCCATGGGTTCCACAAGTAGAATCCCCAACTGGCTGTTTAAACCAGCTTTCCATCCTCGTTCCGATGCCACAACAGTACAAAGAATACAGAGAAGAGCCAAAAATCAGCTGAGAT